CATATGATGTCCTTATATGAAACAGAGCTGGAGTGTGATACCAGCTCTCCTATCAGAGCAATACTTGCTCCAGCCTGATCCAGAATCTGACCAAAGATCATACAATGCAGCTCTGTGTAATTACACAGCAGGGAGCATAAAGTCCTTGTGTGCTGACTGCTCATCTGTATATTTGCTCCCCTTTGTCCTCTGCAGTTAATTTGGAGAGCAGATGATGGCAGTGGATCCATTAGAAAGCCTGTGATTTACAGGGTTGTCGCCCTCCTCTGTTCTCCCTCTCCTTTCATTGCGCTCTTAATGCTCTCTTCCTCAGCAACGCACACAGACACTCTCATGCACAAACACTGACCCATGCTCACTGCCTGGCTGCTCGTACCTGATATTTTTTATCGGCCTCGGCAAGTTAACACTAAAGCCTCACTTTCAGCATGGCAATCTGGGGCTTCACTCCATGAAGTCTTTGTTTTAATCCATTGGAATGACAAGAACATATCTGCAAACACCACTGATATTTAATTCAGGAAAGCCAATTGGGTGGACGTGCTGCCACCAGAGCTGCTATGATTTGATAGAAGCTATTGATTGGCTGCTGTTGTGATCCAGAATGTCCATTTCTGTCTGCCATTAACTGGATTCATACATTTACTGGGTCACACACAGAAGCCTTCCAGCTTTTCTAATTTCATCGGCAGGCTTTGGTGTGTTTATGGGCATTTGTGTTTTTCGGTGGAAGCACTTTTTTTTTTCTGGAGACTCCTCATTATGTGTATGTCTGCAAGTGTAAGCTGTTGTGTTTTCTGAGTAAATTATAACATGTTCAAGTCCAGGGGCTGCATCCATGGAAGAACCCAGGCTACCTGGTGGGTTAGGCAGGGTTCTTTGTTGACCTCAAGGACTAGAAGAGAAGTGAGCAGCTGTGAAACTGGATGTCTAGCCTTCAGATTATTCCTGCTCTTACCTCGGTGTATGTCCTGTCGCCTAGCAACCGTGACTGTGCTAAACATAAGCTGGTTAAAAATGGAGCTCAAAATCTTGCTGAGTCTCTTTTATTATTTATGTAATCCTTAATTGATGAATTGATTTTATATATAGCAAACATGCATTCAAATGCCAAAAAAAAAAAAAAAAAAAACCAAAACGCTTTAAGCTTCACCAGATTTTATTATATTTAAACATGCAGTAGGTTAAAACTGTCACTACGTTGTGACAGTGTAATATGAGATGGATGATCTGGAAAAGATCAAGCTCCTGTGCGTCCATGTGGTTCTACTACTATTTGCAGAAATAAACCACCTCTGGAGTAACCAATCAGAGCCAAGAGGACGGTCTGAGCTCTGTCAATCACAGTCATCTAAGTGCTGCTCATGAGCATGAGCATAATTGTCAGCACTTAGACCCGCCTTCTGGCTCTGATTGGTTGTTTCTGACTGGGGGCTATACATTTCTGCAGATCGCATTAGAACTACAGGGAGAAGGCAGAGGAGCTCTATTTCTTTTTTCAGATATTATTTCTCATGTAATACTATCACAACATAGTAAAAGTTTGAAGAAATATGTAAAAAAAAATTTATATGGAAGTTGCATACTGACTATTAAAATTGGTTCTCCTCCTGCTTTGTCTGCTGTTATTACAAGAAAGATTCAGTCAGATTCTCCTTGATACTTTTATTACTTGTACAATATTTAATTTCCTTTTCGAAGTTATACGTTATAACTGAAATATGAGTATTTAAATCATTGCTCCCTGGGTCAGCAGTCTTATCTCATTAATATGCGAGTCCTGGGATTCTTGGCAAACAACGGGTGGTAGAAAATGCACTGTTGATGTTAAATTTCCTTTTAACTTTTTTCAGAATTCTCTTTTTTAAATTTTAAACTTGAAATATTTACCTAACTATAAAAGTAGAAGAAACTGTTAAAAAAAATTCAAGCTCTTCAGCCAGGCACCACTTTAGCCATGCTCTGAATGTTGATGTTTTTTACATTATGATCATCTTAAGCAGTTCTCAACCTTCTATGTAGAAGTTAAGTTACAAAATATTCAGAGAATAAACTTCTCCTGGTTGTTTCAGTAATAAGTTGACACTCCAGTTTGAAGGGAGCAGAATGATCAGCATCCGGTCAAAACAGCACATATATTCTTTTCTTTCAGGAACATACAACTTTCAGTTCTTTCTGTCTCTACATCAGCTCATCTGGCTTCTATTACTTCAGTAACATCTTAGGCTTTCTCACATGAAAATATACACCCACATACCCTCCTAATTACACACATTCTGCTCTTATTTTATGCCCCCATTTTCTCTCCAATGTTTTTCCCCTTCATTCAGAGAAACATTTCTTTTCTCATCTCCATCTTTCAGTCATTCTCTGCACTGACACTTCTTCATCTTCACCTCTCATTTTGCCGCCTGACCAGCTGGGTGGAAAGAATCACTTGTTTATCTCTCCCGCTGTCCATCAAGGACTTTTGCTTTGCTGGTGTCGTCGCCTAGCAACTGCAGCAGAAGCTGGTATTGGCTGCCTGTTCTGTGTGTGTGAGACTGAGAGCAGCTTCTCGTTGACTCGGTGGAGTACAGACAGACGCATGGCGCGCTCACGGCTCCCTCGGCGTTGTGCCGCTGCCAGCCTTTGTGTGACTGGTGGAATAGCGTAGCAGTGGCCCACCTTGGTGAGGTCCACCTGAGAGACAAATGCACACTCCCTGTCTTCCCTTTCTTTGCTGTCAGACTATGGTTTCTGTCAGTGAAAGATATATATATATTTTTTTTAAATGGAAAAAAAATTGATTTGTGCATCAGACATGTCTGCCTCTCTTACCCATCAGAGCTATGTTGATAAATTTATTTGGATATATAGTCTATAATTATATGGTTAAACAGTTACTGTAATATTTTTTAATCAATGTGTAGCGCAAGGAAACCCTGTATTAGTAGGGCACTGGACATGTAACAATACAGGTGTTTTTGAGCACCAAGTTTGCTGTGGCTGTATAAAGGGTTAAAATGTGAAACTCGGTTTGATCGGAGACTAAATATGAAAACATTTGTTACATTGTCAGCTGGTGAGGTTTGCTTTCACACTGCACTGTCAAGCAAAACAAACCAGTTCAAAAACCTGTTCATCCCCTCACTTGTAGAGGGGCTGCACCAATAACCATGGACGGAAACAACACAAATACTGATGAAGACACTGAGCACAACTTCTTTTTTCACAAAATGTAAACAAAACATATTTTAGAGCAGGGGTCCCCAAACTACGGCCCCCTGAACAATACCGGATCCGCCCTCCTCCTCATTTGGTCCGGCCCCCTGAACAATACCACAGAGCATTCAGTGTTTTTTTCATATATATGTGGATTTTTCTTCAACCACCAGGGGGGCTCTTGAGCAGATGTGAAACTTAGTTTCCCTCAATGGAATATATACTAGTCAGTACCAGTCACCGTTTCGCTCACGGTTTTTTTCCATTTGTATTCTGGGTAAAAATCTATCTACAAACGCGACTATGTCGTCGGCAGTAATCCCCCCCCCACCCCCCGTCCACCGTCAACAAAACTTTTCTAAGGTTTCTTTCTTGAAAAACTAAGACCAGCCCCCGACCAGAAAAAGGAACAGTCATGTGGCCCTCGCAGGAAAAAGTTTGGGGACCCCTGTTTTAGAGGTTATAGGATTTCTCTTTGGTCTTTGTTAAAAGACCATGAGTCATTTCAGACCTTCATGTTTTTTGTGGATGTATTTACCCAGAATACCCTTCATTAAAGTCCACTTTCTCCTTTTGGTGCGGTCTCCGGACTGCTTGGTAATGTTAACTGAAGGCCTAGGTTTTTAAAACCCACAGTCAACCAAAAACACATAGAACAATCTCTAGCAGGAGTTACAAAGTATATTTTATATTTTTTAAATTGGCTCACCCATGAACACTTTTTTGTGGTCTTACTTTGAAGTGATATCAGCTAAAAACACAACCTCACTTTATAGTTTATTTCCCAAATCAGAAGCTTCATTTACTTTAACTCTTAATAAAAAATAAAAATGAAGTCCTCACTCTTATCATCTTGGTTCTGGACCAGTAGGAGTACATGCTCTTCCTCAACCTTTGGAACCTAATATTATACCTAATATGTTGTGGATTTATTTCTGAACATGTGCAGACATGTCCTGATTTAAAAAGTCCCGCTCTGTGCTGCCTCCTCCTGTTCATCTATTAGTCAGCATTTCCCTGACTCCGGGTAGGGTTGCGCTCTGGGGGAGAGGCTCTGATTGATTTCATGTTCTGCCTTGATGTTCATACTCTACATGCCTGTAGGTAGCACTAATGTGAGTGAGCCTGGTTCCTTCAGTGTGCAGGTTCAACTCAAAATCCATATTTTCCCGGGTCGTTCTTTTCTGTCATCAGTTTCGACTACACTTTGACTCCAGCATCTCTGCCATTAAAATATATATATATAAAGTGTAAGCACCCAGGACACTGGTAGTCCTTCCAACATACTGGATAAATAACTTGGGGAAAGAGTTTACCATACGGCACTTAAAATATAATATTTGACCAAATATTGCATCATAGTGGTCCTTTTAAGATTGAGATGTTACAGACATGGAAAATGTAATGACAATTGTTATTCAATATGAAATATTTTCATTTAAACTGGTTTAAAAAATTTTCTCTTGAAGGACACCTACTGGCCTAAAAAGCCATATAGTTCACTTTCGTCTTGGGCTAACCTCTGAGTATCACACTTAATCTTTTTGTTGTTTTATCTAATGAACGCATTCATTTCTGTTCTAGGTTTGGTATTGTGAACGTTTGCGGCACTTGTTCATGAAGCTTTTCAGTGACAGCTGATCACATGGGAAACGTTTAGAATATGAGTAGAATATGTTTAGTAATGCTGATTTAGAGGATGAAGTCCTGTCAATGCGTTGCCTGTTCCGTATAGAACACAGATGACAGAATGAATGAAAATAAAAACCTTACATCTTGTTCCTGTTGTGTTGCAGGTCAGAAGACGTGCCTCCACCTCCACGGTGTGTTCCCGTACATCTATGTGCCATATGATGGCTGTAGACAGCAGCCGGAGCGCTACATGCGACAGGTGGCCTTCAGCATCGACAGGGCCCTCAACGTTACCATGGGAAACCCCGCCGCCAGTACCCAGCACGTCTTCAAGGTGGTCCTGGTCTCTGGCATGTAGGTGTCTCCCAACAACTGGGTTTTACCAAAGACAATAAACACCAATAACGCAAAGTGATTCACTAATCTTTTTGGTTTTTGTTTCTTTTAGGCCTTTCTATGGTTATCATGCCAAGGAGAAGCACTTTATGAAGATCTACTTGTACAATCCTCAGATAGTGAAAAGGTAATAATGCTGGTTAAAAGATTGTTAAAGAGTTAATAGAGGAGTCATGTTGTGATGACTTCCTGAAGGCAGAGTTTCAGAAAGAACAGCAGTTTTTAGAGACAGTGGTCCAATTTCAAGACATTAGATTACAAAGTCAAATTTCTTTAAAGTCATCTGATATATACAATATTCTTATAACAACTGAAGGTAACACAATTGCTTGATTGTGCTATAAAATAGCTCTATGTGTCTGAAAAATACATAATACTGTCCCTTTAAAGGAATATTTCAATTTCATCAAATTTTTTCTTTTAACTGAAAGCTGCCCAGTCATAGTCCCAACATGAATCATTTTGAGTTATTGTGTGGAAGTTTGGGGCAATACATACAAAACAAACCTGCAGTATCTATACACAATACAAAACAAAACAACATAAAGTGGCAAATTGGAAACATACATATCCACTATTAGTCAATGATGGAAATAGCTGAGCGGTTAAATTTAATTGATTTAATGATTTACTTCTGATATTTTCTTAATTTATGGAAGGTCAAAAGTCTATGAATCTGACTTGAGGCCTAAACAATCTGCAAGAACAGAGAAATGTTCTCTCTTGGAGCTGCAAGAATAGAATGACATTCTGTTCTTGCAGTTCTGACAGCTTGTTCTGTACACGTCATCTGAGTAGAACTTTTTCCCGTGTTGTTTATGGGAACTAATATGAGCCGTGCAGTGAGCTCAGCATCAAACTAATAAAAATCTAGACATTTGTTTCTTTAAGAAGCTTTGCCTTGGATCATTTGTATTTGGACAGGGCTGAACAATAAATTAATAACAATATGTACCACGATAGACATGTGATCAATACAAATCGATAATACATCTGATATACTATTCAATATATAGAATATTCACTAAACTTTGATCCAGAACCACACAGCATTCTGGGAGATGTAGGCAGATGAAAGACTTTAGCTGTTCAATCTCACAGCCAACTAAGCAATATGAGTGGCATCAACTGACTCACTCACTCTTTGGTTGCCTAGCAACAACCTGTTGCAAGGTAACCCGTAACCTTCGCAGTGGTTTCACAGAGCCTCATCACTGCTTAAAAAATTAAAACAGCAGCATGGAGTAAAAACTGTGGATAAAACAGGAAAAGTCACACCACCAGTTTGGCAGTATTTCAGATATTTAAAACAAAAGACTAGTCAATAATTATCTTTATCGGCTGGTATAAAATGCAATAAGTTTTTCAGCCATATCGTCCAGCGATTGGATATGTTCTCATTCAGATACACCCTCATTTCTAAATCCCACTGTGTTTCATGCATCATCTCTATTTGGTTCCATATTTAATTTGTGTTCAAATATATTTAGATCAGACTGCTGTCTGATTTGTAATTCTTATGGCAGAGAAAACATGTCCAAAGATTTACAGAAATATTTCAATAAAACATCTCGCTTCTTTTTTTAAATTATTAGAAGGATCTGACATCAACATGGTCTACTTCTTTTCATATCCCTGTTACTGAGCTTCTTTAAAATTTTTCTTTTTTCCCCAGAGTGTGTGAGCTATTACAAAGTGGAGCGGTGATGAATAAGAGTTACCAGCCTCATGAGGGCCACATCACCTACCTGCTGCAGCTCTTCATGGACTACAACCTGTATGGCATGAACCTGATAAACATGGCAGCAGTGAAGTTCCGCAGGAGCCAGAAGAAAGGTAAGCTCAGCTGTAGGGATCTGTCTCTTTTCTCACAATATCTGCTTTGTCCAACTGGAGTTTCTGACACAAATTTAGATTTACATCTTTACATACAATTTTATTCAGCGTTTACC